AAAACGGCAGGAGGTACAAAATTTTTATTTGTGGTACAAATTAGTACAAAATAAGTACTAAATATTCCACTAGGTCCGATGTGATTCTGCTGATTTAGTCCTGCTAGCTTAAGAGAGGTGTACAGAACTCGCCGTCTATCGGCATCGAGTGTCGGGAATAAAGCGAAGAGATCAGTGGATGTGAAACAGAATCCACGAGTTCTTACGTAACGAACGTTTGAACGTGGCGAGGTCGAAATAAGAAATGTAGGATATAAGACGCATACGAATTCGGAATAATCGATACCACGCTACCAATTGAACACACGACGCGACTTTTTGGCCTGTTTTCAAGATCACGCTGAGAAATCGTTTCTCCCTTAAGCGGTATTTATTTACGACCGATTACACCTTTCAATTTTAAAATCAGCATCGGTACCATAAATATAAAACGTTTCGATAATTTGTATACTAATTCTTAGGGGAATCGATTTATTTTTTACAGTTTATTAAAGCGATGAAAATTTCACACGGCCATGAGACCGAATTTAAAAGCGAATAAAGTTCGCGAGAAACCCGGCCGGGTCCGACTTGTCTTTTTTTTTTTTTTTCTCGTCAAGTGCCGTAGTCTGAATTTATAGCTCGCCTGGAAACGCTTTTATAGATCGTATGCCGTATCCGCAATGCTTGGAGCTGAAATTCTTTGTACATGCATACAGACAGAGACCCTTCGCTCCTTTCCGTTTTGTTTGTTCTTTTTTTTTTTCTTTTTTTTTTTATTCATCAAATTCCACGTTCCCGGTAGCAACAGCATAAGCATAAGCGAATCGCACATAATCGCAATGGCGTAGAGCGTAGCCTCTCTCTCCTGGGATCGTATTGATTTATTGCCGGTACGTCGCAGTACAGTCTTAACCCATTCTTCCTGAAATCGTTCGGGGTGAGAATTCTTATTGATTCACCTTGCACGATCGACCAGATAATAAATGATAATTTTAACATCCGACACGTGTTCATCGAGAAAACGACAAAAAAAATTTATAAAGCATATTAAAAAAAAAAAAAAAAAAAAAAAAGTACGAGAATGAGAAAAGATTGTCTGTCGTTTTTCGAACGAGGTCGCAGGATGAATCAGTGAAGAGATCGACGAAAGCATCGATCGTCGTTCCGTTTCCTTAAAATACGTTCCGTACGAATTATACTTTGGGATGAGTTATCGATTCACCGTGCATAGTTGATGAAAGGAGAGAGACAGGTGGGCATATGTGAGTTTCTTAAAAATAATCTCCGAGAGAGGAGCGGAGACGAGCTGATCACGTGGATCCTCCACCAAGGTTCGTATGTTCACGACCCGCTTTTAGCACCAATTTCGTACTTGTACACATATACATACGTATCCGCTGTATTACATATCTATCTATCTATGTATATATATATGTATATATATATAACGTGTATGTACGTATAGTCTAGCGTTTCTATACGGCTAGTCGCCATAGCTGCTTTTCAGACTAGACGCGGAATAGATGTTCCCGATGCTTCCAAAGTAGGAAAAAAAAAAGACCCGGTGAAATGTGGGCCAACGTCTAGGTACCATCGGTAAAGTACACGTAACACGCGCGCAACGGAAAACGCTCCCGCCGTTGCTGCAATATCCGTCGTGCGTACTCTGAATACTCGACGAGACGCTCCAACGACTCGCTAATTATTATTATTAGTTAAACTGGAAACGATCGCGTCTTCTTGCTCCGGGGAATTCTTAATTGACTCTAGTGTTTTATGAACGCTGGTCATTGAAAATTTCAAACGGCTTAAAATTAGCCAACGGGTTTTGCAGTAACGACGGCGCAGCTGTTTCGCAAACTGGAAAATTGCGAAGTTCGGAAACGCCTGCCTCGAAGCTCGGGACGTTCTCCTGCGATGCACGGTGAGCCGCGGAACGATTAGGAAGCGCGTAGAGCTGATCTAGAAGCGGGTTATGAATAATCAACGGTGCACACGTCGCGGACGATTGTTCGTTTAAAAAAAAATTAATTAATTAATTAATTAATTAATATTCGACGTAGCGGGAGAATTTTTGTTTCGTTTTTTTTTTATATACGATTCCTAGCACGTCTATGCCATGAGAGATATATTACGGTAATATGTAATAAGGGTGCAACAAGTTTAGTAAGGGATGACGAAAAGGGAATGTTTAGGAATGTGTCGTTCGCAGGTTCGGTATGACGACGAGGACGAGGACGAGGGTCCTCAGCCGGATCCGACGCTCGAGCAAGGAGTATCGTTGCCGGTCCGACTGCACAACGAATTTCCAGCCGAGTTGGCCTCCGTACCTCTCGAGGATGTCGACGGCTTCTATCATAACCAAAGGGTATCACGATTTTATCATCAGCTAAGGAGAATGATCATGAAATATGTCAGACGTATCGTGACACCTCGTCGTTTTATTCACGATTACTTACGTCGTTAACGATTTCAATTGATTATTTCACACGATGCGGTTTTTTGACCGATTCGGTAATAACCGAAAGCAGCATTTACGTGTTTTTTTAATTTTTACCTCATGTATCTAACTTGCTAGTATTTTAACACTAGAAAGGCTGAAACTTAGTATATACCTATATTGCCTAAAAGCAGTAAAAATGACTGCATTGTGAAAGAATAATGTGTAAAGAAATTTGTCTAAAATTAATTTTTAATATTTTTTATATTATTTACAGTCATATAACAAGTTATTAGTAAATGTTAACAATAAAAAAAATTTACT